CACAAATTTGCAGGGCCTGGAGCAGGAGGCAGTTTAGAAATCTCTTAAATAAGTCAGGAAAACATTATAATAAATAGTGCAATTAAATAAGCTTTTTATAAATAGGAAGAACTAAACTTTAGTTAATATAAAAGTCGCACACATAGAACTCCTCATTTGTCTAAAATCCTTGATAGATGAGTTGTTACTACATGTATTGATCTGAAATCTGCAACTGTCCTAAGTTCCAGAAACTTTAATTCCTTAGAATCTGTTTATTTTCCTGGTGTGGGGAAGGAACAAATTTTTCTCTATCTTCAGCATTCTGCTGGCTAGTCTAATAATCAGATAGACATTAGCCAGATTAGCAAAAGAAAATAACCATATTTAATACATACATATGCATGGGCATCCCACGTACATGAGAATGTCAGAGACCTCAGAGAGTTTTAGAAATATTGTAGAAAGGGAATACGGGTGGTATAAGACATCCTGAGTTAAGGATGAAGGAAGGTGCCTTAGGGGATGATAAGAGCTGACCTTTAGTAAAAAGGAGATTGCCTTGCCCTGTAGATAGGTTAGAAGAAGTTATCTCTGATAATCTCTTAAGGGGAAGAATCTAATTGAAATTCTTCTAGGTAAAGAAAGGGAGGGGCAGAAGTTTACCTTGAGCCTGCAGTTAAAGTTGCCTTTGGCTCAAAACAATCTGCATATCACGGTAGCACACCTTGGGGTAACCCGTTCTAGACCCTCACACTTGCACACTTTATTTATTTTCTTTCCCAATTTTATTGACTTCCAAGTGTTACTCTTCTATCTTGCTTACCATATAGAATGGTCTTTGTCAAAGGATTTTTACATCTTTCCAGTCTGTCGTGGGGATTCAGAATGAATCACCCCAAGGTGTGCTTCGATAGTATAGGGATCATTTTTTATCTAAAGGGCTCAAGAGAAACTTCTGTCCCTCCCTTAACATACTAGAAGAACTTGAATTAAGGGCCCTCTCCATAATAAGAGATTATCGGGGATAACTTGTTTTGACCTACCTACAGGGCATGGCAAACTTCTGTTTACTAAACATCTGCTCTTTTGCCCCTGCCTGGACCTTTTGAAACTCCCAGAGTCCCTAGCATCACCTTGCCCCTAGCTCACGAGGTCTTATATACCTTGATCCCTCTTTCTATTTCTGAACGTTTACACATGTGGCATCTCTGACTCTCATGTACGTGGCTCCCATACATGTGTATGTATAAATTTTGTTATTTTCTCTTGCTAATCTGTTTTACATCTATTTGATAAATAGACTACCCAAAAGAACACTGCAGGTAGAGGAAAGTTTCTTGCTTCTCCACACCATGATGTGGTTGACTAAGAACTTGTTTTAGCTTACCTCCTTTTCAGTTTCCCTCCAGTTGCTGAACGGGAACTTATATACCTGAAATGACATATGGCAAGAGTTACAGGAAAAAATGATGAAAAAACATTTTCAGCCTATTGAGAGACCCAGTCACCAAAAGGTTCTTTCATAAAGTACACATCTGGAGGGTAAAACACATGTTTCTGCAATATTTTTGATTAAACAAGTTGTATAGTTCTCTATTGCCATATTATGAAGCAGATATTCCTACACACAACTGTCCTCAATGGATAAAGACAAACTTTTTCCTTTCTTGAAATTGAGAATGTTGCAAAAACAGTTTCATTATGTATGAAGAAAATAGGAACTAACATTTATTAACATACATATTATGCTAGGGTCTGTAGCTAGGGTAGGTGCCATCTGATGCTATCTTATTTAACCAGCTATCAGTGTGCCTAAATGGGGAGATGGTCATACAAGTTTAGTATGGCAACAAACTTCAGACTTCAGGTAACCTCTTGCCTTGATTCTTAAGGGAGTACTTTAGTGGTCACTTAGTTAATTAACAGCCAAGTGAGCTGTGATCCAGGTTCCTGATCCTCAGTCGAGTGCTCTTTCCGCAACACATTGTGAGTCTCATGACATTTATCTTCTTGTCATTTTTCTCTTCGTTCTCCCTCCTCCCCTCTTTCTTTTTCTTTTTCTTTTCTGTTTTTTTTTTCTTTTTATCAAATTTATTGCGGTGACACTGGTTAACAACATTATAATGGTTTCAGGTGCACAATTTTAAAATTTCTTTCTTTTTTTAAATGCTGTAGTTATCTTTATTCTTTGAAAATGGGATTTTTGAGGCCTTGGCTGGGTAGGTCAGTTGTTTAGAGTAACCTCCAGATTATGCCAAGGTTGTGTGTTTGATCCCCAGTAAGGGCACATACAAAAACCAACCAATGAATGCATAAATAAGTGGAACAACAAATCAATGTTTCTCTCTCCCTTCCTCTCTCTATAAAATCAATAAAAAAAGAAAATGGGAAGTTTTAAATCATCCTTCAACATCTTAATTCAACATTTATCTAATGATTGTCTTATGCAAGCTAGACATGACATGCTGTGTATTTTGTTGACACAGCAAGGTAAGCTATATAGAGATAACTAAAAGAGAAAGCAGTGCATAAGTGCTTTGTGAGTGACTTCTATAGGATTTCAGAGATGGGTTGGGGCAGCTGGCCTGGGACTTAGGGCTTTTGAGGAATGGAAAAGATTTTCATAAAGAACTAAGAGCTGAGGGGAGAAAAAGAATTCTAGGTAATATGAAGAGCAATAATAAGGAAATGGAGGAAGGGAACATGTTGAAGAGATGTCAAGTAGGAATCATATGTGTTAGAGGAGAAAATGGAAGAAAAAACTGAGAACACAGACTGTGCTGTTTATGCGGCAGGACAAGGGACCCTTTATATTATCAAGCCTTGAGTAGCTAAAATATAAATAGGATGGAACCTCCAAGTCAGGTGTCATGGAAGCTGTAGGCAGGTCACCTAGAAGCTGACTGCAAATGGGTGAAAGTCAACCCAAGGGGAACTCAAGGTTTCTGTCCTTCATTGCAAAGAAAAAGGAACTCAGAAGGGGGTCTAGAACAAAATGGATATTTTATAGAAACACTGATTCTGCAGGAAATTCTGCTGGAGGAATAAAGTCATTATACAATAAATGGAAGTGGGCTGAGAGACTATTTTCCCCATCAGCATTGCTTATCTCTGGGAATGTTCGGTTTTGGTTAGCTCCTGTAATGGTCTTATCTTTTCACCTCTTCTCTGCTTACCCAAGCATTATTAGTGCTTGGGATATTCTTAAGTCCGAAGGACAAAAGTATTTCCTTGGGGAGCCCACATTTCCTAGTCCAGCTGCTGGAGCAAAAGACGCAATAGGATTTGGGGGCCAGTGTGAGCTAGCAATAAAAAGTGGGCATTTGCCAGAACTGCCCTTTTTGCATCTGTCTGGTGAGAAGCTTGTGCAGCTGCACGCATGATTCAGGACCCTGGTCAGACAGTTTCCACATAGCTGTGCGTGATTAGCATGTGGTGTGGTCACCCAGGGGACTAGCATTAAGGAAGCAGGATTTCATGGCTGGTACTCTTGCTGAGAGCGGATCTTGCTCAAAGCTTCAGGTAGAGATTACCAATAGTCAGAGGTACCAGAAAAAGTACCCTTGAAAAGCTCAAGACTACAAAGGCACCTAGGTGCACATTGGTGCAGCTCCGTACTCGTGCTGGGAGCGGAACCTGGCCTTGGCTGGCACTCACTTCTTGGACTATAACAGTCTCAGCTGCAGAAGCCTGGAATCTGAAGAAATGCCAAGCCAAATGTGACGCACATATCTTCTTTAAAATGAAGCCTGCCGTGATGAGTAGAGCTGCCCACAGTTAATTTAGGAGTCAGGAAATGGAAATGCTAAGAGAATGGCGTGGATCTAGAGCCCTGGAAAGGTATTTAATTTACAGGAAGGGAGGAGGCCTGTCAATGACCTAGAGGAGAGATGTCGGTATTGTAAATTCTTAGTTTTGCTAATTCACAGTGGCATTTAGGTCTAAGCGCCTCCTGGGAGGGCAGACAGCCTACGCAAGTGTTGGACTTACCCTAGCCTTATTTTTTCTACATACATTCAGAAGGCATTTTTCCTCTGTTCCCTTCTACATTTCAGTTATAGGAGCCACATTATTATTCTAGCATGCAACTGACTTTCTAATATGAAGACATATGTGTTCCAACCCAAATAATTTCTTATTCTATCGCTTACATCTAACTTTTCTCAATTTATTAAATAACATTTATTTTAAAATCTCATTATAAAATTCATGATCAATGAACACACACAAAACAACACAATATAAAACAAAAATTAGCCATAATTCTATGACTCAAAGATAAGCACTATTAACATTTTGGTGTTATGTGCTTTCACTGTTTCTTACTAAGTATGTACATATTTTAACATTAAAATCATAATATTCTGTTCTGTAGCTTTTCCCCCCCTTAATAATCTGTTTGTGGGACTATTTCTATGGCAATAAATAATTTACATCATGATTTTTCTTTATAGTTTTTTATTTTACAATATCCTTGTTGTGAGCTTAGAAAATGGAGAAAAATTATACCAAAGAAAATGTCAGCTAGAATTCTGTCATCAGATATTAATTGCTTTTTTTTTTTAATCTTAATATATTAACAGAGTAGTCACTGTTCAAGGTTTATTTGGTGTTTTCGTTGGTATGACACTTAGATAGTTGGCTGCATTATTTATATGTAGACTTTGTTTTTACATCATATGGCCATGTATAGTAATCTGATTCATAGAGTACACAAAATAAGATCCTGAAGAACAGTTAGGCACAAGTCATGCAATACTGGATTTATACATTGGATCCCAGGATGTGATTGACTGGAGAGAAAAAGTTGGACTAGGCACGTTGGATAAAGGAACCACACGTTATATAACACACAGTGAACACACATCTAGTTTGAAGGGCACCTGCAGCGTGTGCTGCATTGGCAGTGGTGCCCTTGAGGAGGTGGCACTGTTTCTCACCAACCAGTTCAGGACCACACAAGGTGAGTACCATCCAGCATCAGGACAGAGATGCAGGGTTTTATGAACCATTACTATTTCTATCTTTAGGAAATCGATGTTTTTAGTCATAGATCAGATAAAAGGGACACTATGCACAATCTCCAACTAAAATCCTGTTGTAGCCTAGGCAGTGAGGGGGTACATTAGGAGACTCTAAAACTGCAGCTCCTTCTGGGTCCCCCAAAGTGTATCTGCACTCTTCTTCAAACGGGCCTCTTCCTCAGGTGTCAGAGTCACCTTCACGACATCTGAGATTCCATAGAGACCCTTGATCATGGTGGAAATTGGATGCACCCGCCTAAGATTCTTAATCATACTTTCTGCTAAATCTGCCACGGATAGTCCAATGGCCCAGGATGTGTAGCCTTTCAGTTTGATCACCTCATAAGCACTCTGAACCACCTGTTTGCCAACTTCTTTCCACTGTTCCTTGTCTGCATCAGTGCCCAGATCAGGGTGCAGAGTCTTCAGGGAGACACCGGCAACGTTCACTCCACTCCACACAGGCACACTAGAGTCTCCATGCTCCCCAAGGACCCAGCCATGACAGCTTAATGGGTGAACATCCAGCCTTTTCCCCATTAGGTAAGGGAACCCGGCTGAATCCAGATTGCAACCACTTCCAATAACACGGTTTTTCGGAAAGCCACTTATCTTCCAAGCCACGTAGGTCAAGATATCCACTGGATTGGAAACAATAAGCAACTTGCAGTTGGGACTGTATTTTACAACATTAGGAATGACGAATTTAAAGATGTTCACGTTACGCTGGACCAAATTAAGACGGCTTTCTCCTTCTTGTTGACGCGCCCCAGCTGTGACAATAACCAGCTTGGAGTTTGCAGTCACATTATAGTCTTTGCTAGAGACAATTTTTGGTGTTCTAAGGAAAAGGCTGCCATGTTGGAGATCCATCATCTCTCCCTTTAATTTGTCTTCCATGACATCAACAAGAGCAAGTTCATCTGCCAAGTCCTTCATTAAGATACTGATGGCACAGGTCATGCCAACAGCACCAACCCCAACGACTGTAATCTTATTCTGGGGGGTTTGTTCTTCCTTTAGGAGATTCACAATCAGCTGATCCTTGAGAGTTGCCATTTTGGACTTAGAGCCGAAAGGAATCGGGTGTGCACGGCGGAGGGGTCTCGGTGGTGCGCAGCGCTGGATCCGGACTTGGCGGTAGCGGCTCTGGTACTTACTAATTGCTTTTGATACTTTAGTTTATATCCTGGCAATCTGTGTTTTGTTCTGGCAATCTGTTCTTTAAAGTTTCATAAATAGTAAGTAATGCAATCTTACTACAAAATTTCAAAAACTACAAAAATATTTTATTCTTTTTCTTTGCATGTAATAATCACTTCGTTGTTTCCTATAATAAAATTTTAATCTACTCATATATATTTTAATTAAATACAGAAAAGTATAGAAGGCATAAGTCACATTATACTATCCAGAGGCAGCTATTATCAAAATTTTAGTAATTTTTCAGATAATTTTCTTTGCTATTACTGATAATTTTGCCTAAATTATTCCATCGAATTTTTACAGCATCACTGAGGGGTAGGTACTGTTTTAGGGAGGGGTACCACACCCCGTGCAGAGTCCCCCCAGGTCACTGTGGATGGAGGAAAATAAGTCATTCCAGACACTCTCGGTCTGACAGGAAAAGAGGGTGGGACTCCCTTTAGTGGAGAATTGCCCCAAGCTCTTCTTTTGAAATGGCTTTTATTGAGAACTGATGTATGCAGGGGTATACAGCATGCATGCAAAGCTCATCAATCAATGTCAAAAGGTTCTGTTTACAGAAAACAGATAGGGATCATAGATAACAACTGAAGGAACACAGAGATTTGCCTCAGGTCAGGGTCTGGTAGACAGGGTAGGGTCCATTGGGCCCTGAAACCTGGGAAACTGATCTCAGTCCATGCTCCACCCCAAACATCAGTACTCATTAACTCTAGGGCATTCTTAACAAAGTAAGTTTCAGTGGGATTTAATGCATTCTTTTTCCAGGCCTAATTGGCCCTGGGGAACCACCCAATCCAGTTCAGGGCTGTACCTGCCTTTACTATTGTTTCACTGACCCCGTCACCTGGGTGGAGCGGAGCACCCAAGAGATAAGGCAATTTCTTTCAGATTGAATGAGGACTCCGGCTATGACAAAGGTGAGGGGTGAGGGAGGGTCTTTGGCCCCTTCTCTGTGTCCTCCAAGTCCTTCCCTGATGGTCCCCATGTGACTGTGCCCCACTTAGGTCGCCTCTGCCATCGAGGGGTCTTATCCGTCATTGACTAACCAGCCATCCTCTGGGGCCCAGCAGGTTGATGTGAGGGGCACAGCCCCTGCCAGGGGGACAGGTTTTGTCTCCTCAGTGGCCTATTTTCCCAAGGCCTCCTTGCTCAGCTCCAGCCTTGGGGCCCTCTTGCCTGTCAGCGAAGCAACAGTCCCTGAAACCAGGCGGGATGGTTCCCAACAACTGTTATTATCTTGAATTTATAGATGAGAAACTAAGGCCTAGGGGAAATTATATAATGTGCCCGAGTTTCCACAGTCAGGAAGAGTCTGAGCCCACAGCACTGAACATAGGTGTCTGTTGCTGAAGCTTTGGCCTTGACCCCTATATAACACTGCCCCTCATGTCTGAAAGCTCATTTGACACAGGTTGTCTTATAACTTTATAATCTGACAATATGTTGTAAAGATCTTTTCATGCCAATGAATTATAAAATATTTCATTTTGATGGCTTTATAATATTTCATTGCATGGTGTCCTAACATTTATTTAATCTATCTCCTACATTTAGATTATTTCCAGTTTTTCCTATTGTAAGTAAGACTGCAATATACATTGCTGTACATTGCTAATTCCTCTGTATTATTTTCTAAGGATAAATTCCTGGGAGTGGAATTGCTAGTCAAAGAGTATATGTATTTTAAGTTTCTTGATGTACATGGATACATTTCCCCATGAACTGTCATATTCATTTATACAAGGATAACCTTTGTAGGAAAGTACTCCGTTTCTCCAGATAAGTGAATGTGGGCATTTCTTCTTAATTTATTTGATTACTGTTCATTGTGAATGTTTTTGAATATTAATTGGCCATTTGTATTTTTTAATCCCCCGTTCCTATTCATTACCTATTGTTTTATTAGAATGTTTGCTTATTTCATCAGAGTATATCTCATTTGACAGTAAAAATATCAACTCAATTGTCATATTGTTGCAATTTTTTTCCCTCTAATTTCTTATCATTTACCTTATAAAGTTATTTTTTAAAAGACATTTGAACCCTGGACAAGTAACTCAGTTGGTTAGAGCGTCACCCGACCCACCAAACTTGTGGATTTGATCCCAGTCAGGGCACAAACAAGAGTCAACAAATGAATGCATAAGTAAGTGGAACAACAAATGGATGTTTCTCTCTCTCTCTCTCTCTCTCTCTGTCTCTCTTTCTTCTCTAAGTACCAGTAAGAATAAAAAATTAAGAAAATAAAAGACATTTGATATCTTCATGTTATTTCACTTTTAATATACTGCAGTAACATAGTCATCATTCAATTTTTTCATTTTGTGGATAATTTAATTGTAAAATTCTCTTATTTTTGCTTAATATTCTGTTGGGAAAAAAACTGGTACCTGGGACGTGAGACTTGTAGTGCTGTAACTGAGACATTTAGTCACCCTGTGCCTCATGCCAGCAATGTGACTCTGGGTTATATATCAGGGGGTTCAGCACTTTTTTGTTTGGTTGTTTTTCTGTTTTTGTTTTTTTTTTTATTTGAGAAGTAACGCTGTCAGACAGTGAAATGAATAAGTCTTACATGTACAATTTGATGTTTTGGTTGGGGCTTCAGCTTTTGCTTTGGAAATTTTATTAGGGAAACAAGGCAATTATAAGATATTATAATTGTCTGTGATATGGTTCTTTGATTTCATTTTATTTATGTTTTGGTCTTACATTTACTGGTGATATGTATTTACAGGTATTCTGATGGCTCTATTAACTCAATGGATCTTTGAGTAACAATAGAGACTTCTTTTTCTCCTGAAATTAATACTCTTGAGTAACCAACTCATCCCGGTTTGCCTGAGACTTTCCCAGTTTCAGCCCTGAAAGCCCTGCATCCATGGAAACCCTCTGTCTTGGATCACTTTCTTTCTGGGCAATGGTCTTGACTTTATGCTTATAGGACTTTGACCAATACAGTGGCACATGTTTAAGGGAGGTTCATCTGGTAGTGGTAGGCAGGAGGGCTGGAATGGAAAGCCCATCTGCTCCCAAGGCAATGAAGGCTCAGCCCACTTTAAAAATGGAAAGGAAAAGGGAAAGAAAGATTTAGAGAATAACCCCGAGAATACTGGCTTTTGTCATTATGGGATAACTGCTTTTTTGAAGTTCAATAGTAATCCTTTACCATAATTTTAGCAGCCTCTTTTTATAATTCCCCTTGTTTCACTTCTCTAATTCATTTCACCTTGTTAAAAAAAAAAAACTTCTTGAACTCTCCCCACCCACACACCTCCTTGATCTAACATCCTTCAACATCCTGATTACTAGTCTTCCTTTACTGAGACTTTTTCTCATCCTGGTCACGGTGCTCCTCTGGCCTGTCTCCCCTCTCTGTCCCAAATTCGTGCACGCTAAACAAACTCAGCGTGCCTGTGGAATACCGACCCATGCACTCAGTTCCCAGTTCCATGACCTCCTGGCACCGATGCCCTTTGTCATCATCCTACTTAACCTACTCAAGTCATTCCTGGGGACCTTCACATCACTCACAGTAGCTCCAATCCTTACACTATGTCAACTCTTAAACTCCTCTCCAGCTTTTTTATTCCTTGGCTTTTACTATTATCTCATTAAGATCTCCAACCCCTTAATCCTCCCATTTCTTTTTAGTCTGAGCCTCCAGGCTTTAAGACACTCTCTATGTAGCATAAAGAGAGTTCAATGATCCAGACAGATTAAATGGCCATGCCATTTCTAAAGATATAGAGAAATTGGTAAATTTAACCTTTTTTTTCAGTGTCCTAAAAAACTTTTCAAGGTTTTGCAAGTTTTAAGGGCATCATATGAAGACCATCACTGTACTGAAGATCTCAGAAATATTGATTAACTAAAGGAGAGTTTTGGTTTATAATATTTTCTTTTCCATTAATTATTGAGAGAGAGTAAAAGAAAAGGGAGAAGAGACAGCATTACCTCAAGAAGCCTAAATCTTCTAAAGAACTCTTGGAAAATGTCATCTGCTGCTGTTGGCAAAAATGGCTTCCTTTCCTGGAAAAGAGTAATCAGAGTTATTTGAAATTAAGCTGAGCATGCAGCAGTGAGTAAAAGGCAGTAGAAAGATGTTAGGAGCATGGCTGTTGTATTAGTTTTCTGTGGCTACTATAAAAAAAATTACCACCAAGCTGGGAGGCTTAAAATAGAACCCAGAGAGAGGGTTTATCTGCCACTGTCCTGGTGGCCAGAAGCCTGAAATCAATGTCACTGGGATAAAATCAAAGTGTCAGCAGGGCCACTGTCCCTCGGGAGAAAGTTCTATGGAAGAATCTGTTCCATGCCTTTTCCAGTGTCTCAGGTCTTCCAGCATTCTTGAGCTGTGGCTGTGTGGTTCTAATCTGCAAAGCCAGCATCTCCTAATCTCTGTTCTATCTAGCTTCACATCACATTCTCTCTGGGTCAAATCTCCCCTTGCCTCCCTTTTTGAGGACACTTGTGATTGCATTTTGGACCCACCCAGATCATCCAGGATAATCTACCCATCTCAAAAGCCTTAATTTAAACACAGCTGCAAAGCTGCTTTTTCCAAATCAGGTAACACTTTTGGGTTCCAGGGATAATTTTGGGCCATGATTCAGCATATTGCCGCTGCCATCATTGGGAAGAGATGGGAATTCTGTGAAGCAATGAGGGAGGGATGGGGGAAGCTCTTCTAAGGGCACCAACCCTAAAGTCAGTTCTGTTTCCGGGGGGGAGGGGGCGGGGAGAGGAGCCCATAATAACCAGGGTCAATACATTGGATCAGGGAGAAGAAAAAGGCAACTATGCTGAGGGAATGGAAGTATAGATTTGATTTCCTGTCAGTTAAGGGTTTGGGTGTTTTACATGTAGATCGTGGGTTTCAGAAATCTTAAGTTGCTGAACACTTAATGCTAGTTATTGATTATATTTT